GCAGCACAGCCGAGCCCCTGAAAAGTGACATTGTAAAAACTGTACATGGTGATTGGAACTTTGTAATAAAACTGTTATAATAACCTCGTCCCTGGAGGTGCCAAGTGCCATGTCCTGGCGTTGGGGAGAGGGAGCCTGCGTGGGAGGAGGAGCCCCCCAGCCAGACCCCGTGGGGTAGGTGTTGGACCCCGGCTCAGCCACGGTCGCATGTTCCCCCCCTGGGCTGCGCAGCCCCTGCCTGTCCCTGGCTCACCCTGGGGCCGGCGCAGCCCCTCTTCCCCGGGCAGGAAGGAGCCGTTTGGCAGCTCCCCACCTGCCCCTTCCCGAGCCTGGACTGTCCCAGGCTGGACCCCGGCATCCCCTGGGCACCCATGAGCTATTTTGGAGACACCACAGAAGGTGGAAGCGCAGCCTCGCTGCACCCACTCTGCTCCACGGGCTCTGCTTTCAGACCCCCCCCCCCCAGCTGAGGGTCCTCCCTGGCTCTTGCTGGGCGCGCAGCAGCGCGTTGCGTGCGCTGAATAGCGGGTGTTGTGCGAGCCGAGCCGCCGCTTTTCCCCTGCAGCTCGTTTGTCAGCCATGGCAGGATCGCGGCCTCTCCCATTTAATCGCTGCTGCAGTAACCCACCCTGGCAGGAGCTGGGAGAAGCCGCTAGCTCGGGCAAGGCAGGAACCTTATAAATCCACCCTGTGTTTTGCACGTTTCAGAGGCTCTTGTGTTTAGCAGGGATTGACTGATGAGCTGCTGGAGGAGCAGCAGCGCTGCCCGTGTCAGTGGTCCCCGAGCTGGGGCGGGCAGGAGAGGCTGGAGGGGGTGCGTGTGCCTGCGTCGGGGGGCAACAGCACAGCAGGGTTGGGAGCCTCAGCTTGCTGTGCCTCCCTGGGTGTTGGGCTTCAAGCAACACCCCCTAAATTAACCCTAAATTAACTCTTATCTTCACTGGAGATTTTTGAGGAAATAATACCCTTTTCAGTGTGTTGTCCTCCACTGCAGGGTTAAGGGCTCATGCAGCGAGCTGTGCAGAAGCGGCTGAGCAGCCCCCCACTGCCACCCAGCGCGCACACTGCCTGCGCTCTGCGGGTGCCTGCTGGTTTGGGGGAAATCACGGCAGGTTTGTGATTTGAAAGACCACAGGGGCTGTAGTATTTGGTCACGCAGCAGCGGTTCATTTTTTTAGAGAAGGACAACCTGTATTCCCCTCTGGATATTGTGGTTCAGGCTCCCAGCAAGGCTGTGAGCTCAGCACTGCTGTAGCTGCTCAGTAGGAACTGAAGCAAACCAGCAATTTTTTGCATGAGAATTGGGTTGTTTGGGGTCAATTTGATGAGACGGGAGCTGGAACTGGTCTCTGGAGAGAGAATTGCTCAGCGGGAGCAGTTTCAGGCTTGAGAGCATATCACACACCCAGCCCAGGCAGCGCTGTGGAGCTGAGGGCGCAGGCATGGAAGAGGCTGAATCTCTGTCTCTGGGTATTTCTTGAGCAGACAATACAACTGATGTCAATGTGGTAACGGGAAACCAGAGCCAGCAGAGTGGGGCTGGCGGTAAGTCGCTGGTCATGCGACTCGCAGACAGCACCGAGGAGGCATTTTTAAATGCCAGGTGGCAGCCAGCGCTGGCACAGCAGCCGTCCAACACGCAGCTGCCAGCAAAGCAGAGCGTATTTTGCAGCCTGGGCAGGAGCCTCCAGCGTCACCAGTCTGTGGACATCCCAGATCCACGGAGGTGGGTTGGCTCAGTCAGACTTGTTGCCCTTGGGGAGGCACAGACAGGCCTCGGGGTCTTGTTTTTTGGAGCCCAGCACCCATTCCCTTCTGAGGGACAGCCACAGCGAGCAGCAGTGCTTCTTTTCCATCCTTCCCCTCCCTCATTCATAATTCATCTGCGCCGAGACAGATGCCCACAGCAGGGTTGGTGCGCTGCTCCTCTCGCTCAGAGCACGGGGTTTGGGTCAGCACCAGCAGGTCCCATTCGGGTGGCTGCTATTCGGCCTTTCTGACCCCAAAACCACTCGCAGCAGCCCGGCCGCACAGCCCGGGGCTGCGAGAGGAAGGACACGCCGTCAGCAGCGTCCCGGCACAAACACTGCTGTGGCAGCTGCGCCCTGACCCCGTGGTGAGGGAGCCGAGGCCTCCCCAGATTTGCTGGGTGAGAGTGAGAGAAGCCGGGCAGCGGGGAGCTGGCTGCCAGCAGGGCGAGGGCTCCCACCTGCCGGCCTTCCCCTTCTCACTAGCATCACCGTGCGGCCAGAGCGCCCACGGGCTCGGCCACGAGTCAAACACTCATCTAGGCACAGCTCCAACACTGCCAGAGCTGTTTAATAGTTATTTACTGCAAACCAAATAGCCTGAGCTGCTCCTTTATTAACAACACAGCGTACCAAAGGGAAGAGATGGCTTCCTCAGCACCCAAACCTCAGCAGTTTTAGCCCACTACAGGGAACTTCTGCATTTTGTCTTCCTGGTTGTGCCTCTGCTGCAACTGTCTCTTCCCCTCAAACAGCACAATGGCAGCAGCGATAGCGGAGTTCAAGCTGTCCACGCCTGGCACCACGGGAATGACCAGTCTCTTCCCCCCCGTGCTGGCTGCGAGGTAAAACGCGTCCGGGCTCAGACCGTGGGTCTCTCCGCCGATCACCACTGCCACTGGAGTCTGTGTCCAGTTCTCGTAGTAATACTGCACGGCCAGCTCAGGGACACAAACACCCGCCGCTCCCGCCTCATCCTCGTGCTCAGGAGCAGCCTTGGGTTTGGCTTTTGCGGGAGCCCTCGGGTTGCCAGGAGCAGAGCCAGCCCCGCCAGCACCTCTCGGCACGGACGCGGGCTCAGCTTGAGCGCCTGGGTCTTTGTTGTCGGCCACACAGACCTGGATGCCGGCAGGCAGGTTGCTGGGAACAGATTCCCAGTCCAGGTTGGCGACGATGGGCAGACGGAAGTGAGCCCCCATGCCTGCACGGAGCACCTTTGGCTCCCACGGATCCACACAGCCTGAGATGAAAGGGAGGAAAACGGCGACACTGCAGCAGCTCCCAAAGAGATGGGATTCAGCAGCCGCTGCTTCCCACAGCAAATCATACCTGGGCTGGGCACTGCTCACAGACTCTTGGGAACATCATCTTCAAGCACCTCTTATTCCCTGCCTTATCCCCAAATTACTCAAACTAATTTTTTTTTTCCCTCAGAGAAAGGCTCTTACCTTTGGTGAGCAGCACTTTCTCACAGCCTGCTCCTGCTGCAGATCTCAGAATAGTTCCCAGGTTTCCCGGATCTCGGATATTGTCGCAGATGAGGAGCAGTGGCAAGGAGCTGCTTAGCTGAGTGGCAGGGTAAGACATCTTGGCATGGTTGGGCTTGGAAAAGATCCCTGAGGAGACAAAGTGCTGACAGGCTTCTGACTAGCACACCCCAAGGAGAGGGCTGCCTCTCATTTACTCGGCCCAAATTGCTCTAAAGAGGTGCTGGAGAAAGCATTAGGAAAAGCACTGCTTAAGAGAAATTTGAGAAGAGTTTGTCACTTGTCAAGGAGAACTATTTCCCAGCAGAGCTGCAGTGACGTACTGTTAAAAATGAGCATTATCACAGTCAGTGTACTCTAGGGGCCACTTTCACAGTTAGCACGGCAGGCCAAATAAAAGGGAATTCTCTCAAATCATGCCACTCTTGACATATGGCCAATGTCTAGGGGAAGTTTATGAAGAGAGAGTCACTATCCACTTATTAAGTGTGAAATAAGTTTCCCTTTGAGCAATGTTGTGACTGTTTCTAAGGCAACTTACCTATAAGCCCCTGAGGAGTTACGAGGTCAGACCAGCTCTTAATATCTTCAAATTTCACCTTAACTAAGTTGGCTCGTTTTAGCTCTGCTTCAGGCAGCTCCTTCAGGTGCACCACAGTGCTGAAGAAAAGAGTCTGCAGCACAGCTCCCGCCTCCAGGGCATCTTTGATCAGCCTGTGACCTTCCAACAGAACCTTTCCGTGATGATCCCGGAACTTCTTCGACTTGGCGAGAGTCACCACTTTTCTGCAGGGAAGTTAATCAGAGATGTCTGGGCTCCTAACACCACCTTGAGCCTGGTATTTGCCAGCCACTGAAAACTTCACTTGGAGGGGAGCGAGGCCAGGCTGAGAGAGCTGGGGGGGTTCAGCCTGGAGAAGAGAAGGCTCCGGGGAGACCTCAGAGCACCCTCCCAGAGCTTAAAAGGGGTACAAGGAAAGGTGGAGAGGGACTCTTGATCATGGGGTATGGGGATAGGACGAGGGGTGACAGTTTTAAACTGACAGAGGGGAGATTTGGACCAGATCTAAGGAAGAAATTCTTCCCTGTGCAGGTGGTGAGGCGCTGGCCCAGGGTGCCCAGAGAAGCTGTGGCTGCCCCCTCCCTGGAAGGGTTCAAGGCCAGGTTGGACGGGGCTGGGAGCACCCTGGGCTGGGGGAAGGGGGCCCTGCCCAGGGCAGGGGGTGGGACTGAGTGATCTTTAGGGTCCCTGCCAACCCAAACCATTCTACCACTGACTGTAAGTCCCCCAGGTATCTTTAGACCGGCTGCAACTAGCATTGTGCCATCAGCCTCTACCCAGACCCCCCAAGTGTTGGGATTTGCCCCAAATTCTGCAGATGTGACACCGGGCAGCTCAGGGGCGGCTCCAGAGGAGGCTCATAGCCTCCCGCTCCCCCCAGGGCGCCCCGAGCACACCCGGCCCCGACCCCCCCCCCGCCGCGCTGCCTCACCCCAGCCTCCTGTCACCGGGCGCCGCCTTCTCGTACCACAGGTCCGGCCCGGCCGCGCTGCGCTCCACGGCTGGCAGCGGGGGGGGCGGCGGCTCCCGGGGGCTTTGCCGCGCCTCGGCCGCCGCGCTCCGCTCCTTTTGCGGCGGCAGCACCTTCACGGGGCTCCGCCGTAGCGCCCGCACCCCGCGCCGCCCCGCCGCCGCCTCCCTCAGCCCGCCGGGCCGCCGCAGCAGCGACGAGCCCAGCCCGGGGCACAACCTCCCCAGCGCCGCCATCTTGCGCCGTCACCCGCCGGCGCGACCGGGTGCGCGCGGTGCCGGCGTCACCCGCTCCCCCGCCCCGCTCCCGCCGCCGCCACCATGGCGGCCCGGCGCGCGCTGCACTTCGTCTTCAAAGTGGGCGACCGCGGGCGGAGCGCGCGCTTCTACCGCGAGCTGCTGGGCATGAGCGTGAGCGCGAGCGCCGGCGGCGGCCCTGAGGGGGAGGGCGGGAAGGCGGGAACGGGCGGTGGGTGTGGGGGGGTCGGGGTCGTCGCCCACCTCACCCGTGGAACCGCCCCCGGGGCTCTCCCGGGCCGGCCCGGCCGAGGATGGAGGGGGTTTCTCCGGGCCCGGGGGCCGCCAGCGATCGCGGTGATCCCGGTGAGGGACTGGGGGAGGTGGAAGGGGAACGCCGCTCCTCCGTGCTGAGCTCTTTCTCGCCTGACTCCCAAGGTGCTGAGGCATGAGGAGTTCGAGGAGGGCTGCAAAGCCAGCTGCAACGGGTGAGTAGCGACTGGGTGCGCTCCCCGGGCCTTTGTTTCTCGTAAAGCACCTGCCAGTCATGTGTTTTATAGGTAAAATAGGGGTGGTTTTGGTTTTTTGAAGTACTTTTCTTGGAATCGGCACTTCCCCTTGTGGTGTAGGTGCAATGTTTACATTGAAACACAGATATTGCTGTGTTACAGCAATACACTGATACTGAACTTTATAACTATTTATAAGCTGTGCTGCAGTTACATTGTTACATTAGGGTTTTTTTTTTTGCAAATGTGAGGCTATCTGGGGTCTAGAGTTAAAAACCTTTGGGGCTAGTTGGAGGGATTTTTATCTTCATCACTGAAAGAAATCTTACAATCTGGTGCCTGTTTACTTTTCCTACTTCACAATAAGGAAGTGCTTGTATAATTCCAGCTAATGAGCAGTTTACAGTCTTAAAATGTGAGCTGTTAAGAAAGAGATAAAATTGCTTTTGTTCTATGGTCATGAATGACAAACCACGGTCAAAACCACTGAGTGGAGGGATGCCTGTTGAGAATTCTTCACAGGTATCTGCTCCTACTTAGTGGGAGTTTACTGGTTTACCCGTGCCATTTGTTTACCCTAGAAATACAGTTCTTCCTTGAAACACTAATACTTGCAGTTCTTGATGTTTATTTTTAATACTTATGGCAATTAAATATGGATGTTCCAGCCCTTATGATGGAAAATGGAGCAAAACTATGGTGGGCTACGGGCCAGAAGACAATCACTTTGTTGCAGAATTGACTTACAATTATGGTATTGGAGAATATCGCCTGGGCAATGACTTTCTGGTAAGTACCATACACAGCAGCAAAATCTTTTTTCTTGTGATAAGCTTTTTTACTTTTATGATTAGGAGTCTGTTCGGCATATAGGTTGTACCAGTTGCTTTTTTATGCCGTTTGGTTCCTTAAGCACTTTTTTTCATTCTTGCTTTTGTAGTTGTCTCCAGGTTGGAAGAGCAGAAACTGGAGCAGCTTTGTGCTTAGGATCCAGGAAACACTTTCTGGAGCTCCACCTCTTAGCTTCTGTGTGTGTAGGACAGCTGGTATTTTGCTGCCAGATCCAATGTGAAATGGTTAGCTAAGAAGCATCTTGCTGTAGGAAAAAACTCTTTTATTTGTTGTTACTTTTTTTTTGGTTATTTACTAGTAGACAGCCAGTGAAAATCTCATGTTTCTTCTATGGATACATGTAACTGTGTTTTCTCATTGTTTCCTCTGAGCTAATAATCTTCCCCCAGTTTGCTCAGTTTTCCTTTTATGAACAATGCGTTGAATCACAGTTTTAAATGCCTTCTGCTTTTAATTTGCCTTTGGTGTGAAAGAAGGGTAAGTTAATGAATTCCGAATATATGTGGGATGTGCAGTAAGACTAAGCTCATTTTGTAGGAGCTAGATACTTTGGTTCCCAGGAGATCATATGGTCCACCTGTTATAAAAAGGAATTTTGTTTGTGTCTGGTCATTTGTAGAGGCAGACTATTAAAAGGTAGGACTTCTATACTGCCCACCCTGTGAATTTTGTGTATGTCTGTTCTGTTCTCCATAGGGCATAACACTTGTGTCCAGCCAGGCTGTGAGCAATGCTAAGAAGATGGGGTGGCCCCTCAAAGAAGTCACAACTGGTATTTTTGAAGCTGAAGCCCCAGGGGGATACAAGTTCTACTTGGAAGACAAGGAACAGCTCAAGCAAGGTCAGACGTACACACTCGCTCTTACTGGTGTTCAAAACAGATTTACGAGTGGGATATTAGAATGGGCTTTGCATTTGTCTTGATGGCAATTTTATGAAACTGAGCATGCTTCTGTTATTTCTTTGTTACTTTCCTTCTCAAGAACATACAACTGAGTTTAAAACTACAATATATTTATAACTAATTTCAGATTATTGCAATCTTACAGATCCTGTGCTAAAGGTAACCTTGGGTGTCTCCGATCTGCAAAAGTCTGTTAACTACTGGTCTGATTTGCTTGGAATGAAAATATATGAGAAGGATGAGGAAGAACAAAGGGCTTTGCTAGGCTATGCAGATAATCAGGTTAGTCCTTAGAAAACTTTCCAGTTCTGATCTTTAAGAGTTGTGTCTCATCATAAAAACCTCTCGTTTTGTGAGAACAAAATCTTAAAGTGGAAAAAATCTCTTAATTAAAGCAACCATGCACATAATTCTGTGCATTTAAATTAAAGCTTGTGTACACTTAACTGTATTAAAAAAAAAAAAAAAAAAAAGTTGTGGTTTGCGCTGGTAATTCTGGCTTGTTGGGAGATATGTGTGTGGGTGATTTTGAAATCATCCGCATCAGTGAAAAACTGGAGTGAATGTAGCACTGAGAACGGTGTCCTTGCAAGTCAGGCTTTCTTTTTTCCTTTTTCAGTGTAAGTTGGAGTTGAAGACAGTTGGAGGAGCCGTGGATCACGGAACGGCGTTTGGGCGGATTGCCTTTTCCTGTGCAAAGGAAGAGGTAACAATTGCATTTCCCTTTCTCTTTCGTTACCCAGAGCTGGCTGGTGAGAGGTTAATTTCTAGTATTAGCAAAATATCTCAGATGTAAGCAAAGTCATACTGAGCAGATGCTTTGTTTATATTTCTGGAAGTGGGAATGCAATAGAGTTGTGGGAACTGTAAATGAGAACAACCTGAATGCATCTGAGCTGCTTCTGACTAGGGTTGATTTTTGTTTGTTTTCTGTTTAAGTTGCCAAACATTGAAACACTGATGAAAAAGGAGAATCAGAAAATTTTAACACCTCTGGTTAGCTTGGACACACCTGGCAAAGCCACAGTACAAGTGATTATTTTGGCTGATCCTGTGAGTAATATTGGAAATAGTGATTAAACTAGATTTCAATTTCTCTCTCCCAGGTATCTAACTTACCTGCTTTTAAATTTGGTTTAGGATGGCCATGAAATCTGTTTTGTGGGAGATGAAGCATTCAGAGATCTCTCCAAGGTGGACCCTAACGGTGACAAACTATTAGATGATGTAAGTGATACTGTTTGCACATTTGCTTTCTTCCTGATTAATTGATACCCATAGATTTTCATTCCATGTGGAGTTTTTCTGAGAAGCAAATTTGTACACTCTTGATAAGGAAAACAAATCAGTTTTTAAAGTTCACTTAGTGTCCTGGCTGGAGTTTTCCAGCCTTGCTCTTGGGGAGCCGAGTGGCAGTGTCTATTGCTGGACACGTCAACAGCATTTTGATGTGAGTTACTACAGAAAATGATTTGTGAGCTGCAGTAATGTCAGCGCAGCTGGACATCCTCTCAAGGCAGAAGGGCAAGCGTGAGCTCTGTGGGCAGGCTGTGTTTAAACTCTCTGGTTTTGCTCTTGTATTACCAGATCATCTGTTAATTTGCTGCAGCAGAGAACATTTGTTTTCAGTGTCTGTTTTCCTTACTAGTATATAAAAAATAATTTATCCCCCAGAATAGCTGTCCTCCAAGTTAGAAAGCGTCCTTGTGGTCAGTCCAGGTTTGCGGGGCAGGCTGGTGCGTGGGAGCAGCCGGGCGTTTGGCAACTCCGCTGCTGTTCTGAACATGTTAACTCTTTTCTTCGTGCAGGCCATGGCAGCAGACAGCAGTGACAAGTGGTTTGCTGCGCACAAAATGAAGAAGGCTTCTGCTTAGCTGGAGGACTGGAATGCTCGTTTGTGCCTCGGTTTTCATCTGAGAAAAATGCTAATCCTATGTAACGTGTTGCATTACCCCTTCCAGTAAGAGGGTGTCATAATGTCCCATGCTGTTTGCTTTGTTTGACTTAAGCTGGTGACTCTTACTGCTGCTCTGTCCTTTCAAGCAAATAGCATGTTCTCCTTCAAAAATATTAGGCTGTGCAGTAAGGAGCAGGTTGTGGCTTAAAAAACAGGGATCATCAGTTAAGAGGAAAACCTCACATTTCTTTGGTGGTGTTATACTTGAAAAAGAGATTGCTAGATTGCTTATAATATCTAATTCTCTAAAAAATTGTCTTTAGCCGCCCTGGATTTGCAGTTTAGAGGAGAGGTTTTCAGGTCGCTGTGGCTGTATCGCAGGTACCCCACCTCGGTGGCGGAGGTGGTGTTGGGCTGAGGGGGAGGGCTGTGTACAGAGAACTTGAGCCGCTCCGCTGCCACAGTGCGTGCGCCTCTTTACTGGGAACAGAGAAATGACCTTGCTAAACCATGTGAATATTCTAGTCTGGAACAAACCCTTGTTTCATTCCAAGATGTTTCCCCAGCTTTCAAGGTGAAATGCTCACTCGGGAAGCCCGTGGTGCTTTTCTCACTGGGGTCACATTGCCGATGTGGTGGTTTCCACCCCGTACCGAGCTCCTATGTGCCCGTCCCCGATGGCAGCACAGGGAGCCTTCACATTCCAGGTGGGAACTGGGGCCGTGCTTCAGGGCGTGGGGCAGCTTCTGCGCTGCCTACGCAGGTGCTGGGAGGCAACTTGAAAATAAGCGTATCATGGCTTTTGCAATTAGCTTTTGATGAGAAACTGCTTTTAGAAGTAACAGTTCAGGGTTTATTTGGTTGGAATGAAGTCACTCTGCTTTTGCTAGTGGAATAAGGGCTGGGAATACAGGGACTAATTACCGGCATTGTCCATGTCAGGCATGCTGACTGGTTTGTAATTTTTCTTGATGAAAATATTTAATTAAATGTTTAAGTTTCACAGAGAAAAGCAGGTAAAATCAGCAGCGTTGGCGCTCACTGAGGCACGTCAGCACTTGTAGTGAATATTCTGAGTTTAAACAGGAAAAAAAAAAAAAATCCTTGCTGTGATTTTGCTGTTCAAGCTTTTTGGTTCAAGTTCAATGCAGATATTAAATCGCGTACCGATTAAAAATGTCACATGCAAGCTGCACCCCTGAAACCAGCACTGCTGCTCACCAGTGTTGCCCTTAAAGGAGTAAAACTGATTCGGGAGGATGGCTGGAGAACCTGCCTTTTGCAGCCGTCCAACCCACGGAATTTTCCTCTCCCTCTTAATTGGGCTCTCTTAATTGGGCTCTCTTAATTGGGCTCTCTTAATTGGGCTCTCTTAATTGGGCTCTCTTAATTGGGCTCTCTTAATTGGGCTCTCTTAATTGGGCTCTCTTAATTGGGCTCTCTTAATTGGGCTCTCTTAATTGGGCTCTCTTAATTGGGCTCTCTTAATTGGGCTCTCTTAATTGGGCTCTCTTAATTGGGCTCTCTTAATTGGGCTCTCTTAATTGGGCTCTCTTAATTGGGCTCTCTTAATTGGGCTCTCTTAATTGGGCTCTCTTAATTGGGCTCTCTTAATTGGGCTCTGTTTTCCTGCGCACAAATTACCGGGCGGGGAGCGGCGGGCAGGCGGGCGCCACCTCCGGACCGCCAGGGGGCGCTGCGGGAGGGGCGGGGATACCTTCCCTGACGTCAGAGCGCGCCAGTCGCGGGTCGGTCAGGCCGCCGCCATGGAGCCCGGTGGGTGCGGGAGCGGGGGGGAGCGGGGCCGGGGGCTGGGGGGAGGAGGAGGGAGGGGCGGGGGGCGGGCGGGCGGCGGCCCACGGCCGGGCCGTGGTAACGGTGTCTCCACGCAGGGCCGTGGGGCGTGTGCGAGGAGACGGCCATCCTGCACGGCGGGTTCCTGCTGGCCGCCCGGCTGACCCAGCCGCGGCCGCTGCGGGAGCTCTGCAAAGCCGACTGGCCACTCGTGGGACCCCCCATCACCGACGCCCTGGGGGAGATCGGCGCTCGCTGCCCTTCGCCGCTGCAGCACAGCCTCTGGAAGAAAGAGGCCGTGGCCATCGTCTGGGCTAAAGTCCTACTGCCAGGCCCACCGGCCGCCTCCCTGGACCAGGGGTGGAAGGAGGATGGCTTCTTCTCCGTGGGCAGGATGATCCCCGACGTTAACCACACTGTCCTCTTCGAGCTGGTCAAGGCCCTCGACGTGCCCCGGCTCTTCGTGCAGCTGCTGCTGGCGCTGCCCCAGGATGTGTGCCAGAGCCAGCTGGAGCGCTTGGTGGAGTACATCGCCAGTGAGACGTCCCCGTCGGACATCAGGTTTTTTTTGGATGTGTGGTGGGAGGTGATGAAACACAAGGAGGGACCGGAAGACACGACAGTTTCAGCGTTCAGCGCTCTCATACGCCAGCATGGGTGCGAGTCCTGTTTGGATGATGGTCTCCAGCCCCCAAAGAGGTTCAAGGGTGACCCTGGCTCTCTGAGTGGCCCCCCTGCTGCCACCAGCCTGCTCATGGTCCTGATAGAGGGGTTAAAGCAAACCTACAGGAGCATCACCCTGCCCCACGTGAGGTGCTATGCCTTGGCCAACATGCTGGAGCTGCTCTCTGTGTTCACGAAGCTAGAGCCAGAGGGCAGCCCCCTCCCTGTCGCAGAGTACCTGGACAAGGTCAGCTCTGTGATCAGCCTCTGGACCAGCAACACCGAAAGCCGGTTCTACCACAGGGCGCTGGATGAGAAGGTGAAGGAAGCAGAGAGAAGCATGAGCCTCCTGCCCATGGCCAAGCTCTCTCGTGAGGAGCTCTCTGTTGGCTTGGACTTTCTCTGCAGTTTGTTGCACGCCTGGGGAGAAGAGCTGCAGGGTACCCTGCAGAGCTCTGAGCAGCTCTGCTATGAGAGCTACCGGCTCCTGGAAACTCTTACCACCTTTGGGAAGAACCTGGTTTCTTTTTCGGAGACTAGAGACCTGGGTGAGGATGAGACACGCGTAGTGTTAGAGCTGACACAGATCACCAAGGACTTTCTCACAGAGATCAGTGCCAGCCTGAAGATCAAAGATTTGGACACTAGGCTTGTGTCTTCAGTTGCCATGACAATCATTGAGCAAAAGCTGGACCGGCACACGGAGATGTGCTCCATTTTTGCTTCTGAAAAGACCTGGGCCTTTTCAAAGGACTGGGTTGACTGCCTTGTGAAAAACAAAGCTCTCTTCCAGAAACCAGAGCTAATTTTGAAATTGCTGGAGATGTTGGTGGACTTTGCCCTGTCCCACCAAGACAAGGAGGGCCGAGAGTTGCAGATGCAAGTGACCAAAGCCATCATGGAATGTTACACGGAGCTTTCACTAACCGACAAAAACAAAGTGATCTCAGGTGTCCTGGCATCCTGGGGTGGAGCAGGTCTGTCCCTGAACTTGCAGGTTGTCATGGAGGGGTTCCAGGAGGATCTGAATGTGACTTTTAACCAGATCACAAAGAGTGTGTCTGATGAAGGCCTGACCAGGGCTGTGGCTTCTGTGGCCAGGCTCACGCTGCTGCACCCCGAGGCCACAGTGAAGCAGGTTTGTAATCTTGCTGTAGTCAACCTAGGAGCACACCAGTTCCTCGCACAAATCCTCTGCTCCTTCCCAGCACTGAGCTTCCTGGAGACCCACAATGATCCAGGCAGGCCACGCAGCCTGGTGGTGAGGTGTCTGGAGGAGGCAGTATGGGGGAAGCTTTCCACTGTGAGGGAGGAGGAGCAGTTCCTTGAGTTCCTGGCCTTTCTCATGCAGCCAAACTCAGCTGCCCCGCTTGTGTCATCTGCAGATGTGACCAAAGCCTTTGTCCTTCCCTATTTGAAATCCAACTGTGCTCAAATTGAGCTGAGCCTGCAGATCCTCAGTAAGGTTTTGGGGATACAGTCCTGTTCAGGAGAGCACTGGATCAAGTCCTGTCACCCATTCCCGCTTCTCCTCAGCCTCTGCAAGCTTCTAGATGGTTACACAAAGTACTGGCATCAGCCCAGAGACCAGTTCTTCCCTTCGCTGGAGACCAAAGACCTGATACTGAACATTCTCTGCCAGCTCTGTGAGTTGGTAAGACCAGAAACCATCCCCTCCCCTGAGCTGTGGGTCCAGTCGCTGGCTTGGCTTCACAGGAAGGTGGCATCACTGGACTGGACCATTGGTCTCCGACTGAAGAAGCTTTACGGAGAACACTTCAAGAACGAGGTCCCGGCAACACTGTTTGAGATCTGCACTCTTCCTGAGGATGAGTGGACATCCCAGCCTCTGCCAGCTTACGGACCGGGCAGCGGGCTCCTGGCATGGATGGAGTGCTGCTGCGTGTCCACAGCGCTCAGGGAGACGATGCTGATGCTCCTCATGGTCAACGTAGACAACCCTGAAGAAGTGAATCTTTTCAGCAAAGGGTTCCTGGTGGCCCTCATTCAGGTCCTCCCTTGGTGCAGCCACGGTGAATGGAAGAGGCTCACGCACGTGGTCCAACACCTGCTGCAGAGGCAAGTCTTGCACGTGCCGTACACGCTGGAGTACGTGCAGTACATGCCCCTGCTCAACCTCCGGCCTTTTGCCTGCTACCTCCAGTTCTCCGTGCTCTTCTTGCGGGGCTTCCAGCTCCTCTGCAGCTCTAGCTGTTCCACCTGGCTGCCGAAAGAAGCTTGGCTCCACGTGGTCCAGCTCTACTGCGGCAGCCTCACAGACCTGTTGGGCTCTGTCAAGAGCGCCGCGGGGCCCTCCTCGCACCCTGCCGAGGACGGGACCTCCACGCAGGAGGTGTCCTTCATCTGCATCCAGATGTTCTGCCACCTGCTGCACGTCGCCGCCATGCTGCCGGACAAGGGGTGCAGCGAGCCGCTGGTGGTGGTGGCGTTGGAGATCCTCTCGCAGTACGAGACGTTCAGCAGCGCCGATACGGCCCCCAGCAACACGCTGCGGAGAGCCAACGAGAGGCACTTCCTGGCATCCATCACGGACAATGTGGGTGACAAGGCGCTGCGCAGCACCCTCCTACAGAAGCTTGGCAAGCTGGGAGCCCGTTCAGCTGGGGAGCTGGCTTGAAAAGCTGGAGAGGGCGACAGAGGAGATCCCTGACCCAGCCTCAGGGGATCCCTTACATGGAAAGTTGTAAGATCTGTAATAAATTCTATCTATTTTTCTCTTTTGAACTTCTTTCCCCACTGCTGTGTTTTCTTCCAACATGTCTGAGCAGTGAAGGGGCTGTGTAAAAATGGGTGGGAACAACCACTCTTTAATTTTCCAGCAGGAATAGCTGTGGACACAGCTGTTCCTGAGCTGAGCTGCTGGTCCCGTGGCTCCAGCCCTGCCTGCTGGCAGTCTGGATTTATACAGAAAGCTCCGCAGCCTCTGGCATCAGGGAAATCATTTCCCTGCCGCTAGCCCTTTCCTAGTCCTGGGCGGATTGCTGGGTTCGCCACGTGCTGCCAGAGGCCAGGAAGCAAGTTGGGTGAGTTCAGGACGAGCAGAAACCTTTGGAAATAGGTGTGTGTTGCTCCTGCCCGGAGGTGGGGGTGCAGGGGTAGCCCTGTGTGTTAACACCCCCCCACACCCAGAAATGAATGGCATGTGGGAGAGACATCCAGTGGTGTGACTCAGAAAGGAAGTCTTTATTGGTCTCCTGATAGTAAATAGGGCAGTGTTAGTGCAAACTGAGATGCCTCACTGGCTTTTTTTTTTTTTTTATCGTCCTTACATAAGGCACATTATTTGCAATGAAAACAGCAAGATACAAACGTCTGTAACAGGTTGCAAGCGGTTTATAACATCAGCTGGTCTCGATTGTTAATGTAACAGTAGTGTTTCTGCAATAACTGACTGCATGGTGGAAGAGGCCCTTTAGTTCACTCTTTCTAGAATATAGCCGTGGCTGGGACAAGATCCGACACCCAAAAGAACCAGGTCTCCCAGAGCTCAACTGTTGTTTTTAGACAGAATGAAAGGCACGGAGTGCCCCCACGTCTACTGGTACGCTACCTGCCCTGGAGCAGGGGACCCCCAGGCCAGCGTGGGAAGCTGCAGGGATGAGGTGGCTGCCCTGGCTTGTGCTGGCTCCAGGGAAGGAACTGAGCTGCTGCTGACTGACTTGCACACACCTGCAGGGCTTCTGAACCCTGTGATGCAGGGAGAGCCATAAAGCCTGGCCCCACTTTTCTGTGGCTGCAGGTGGAAATGGGCTGAACTGGTGAAGGACACAGTTCAGCACCTTGGTCTGGGGTGACCCAGTTCCCTCCGTGGCAGACCTTGCCTGGCAGGGGAGTAGGGATGGACCGTAAACCAGAGCTGAGGTTGTACTGGTACCCATGGGGTGCTGCCAGGGCTGCTGGTGTTGGCTGGAGGGAGAACAGGGCAGGGTGTGCCAGCTGAGCTTTCAGATATCCACTATGGGGATGCTATGTGGATAAAAGCAACCGGAGTTAGAGGAGGGGGTTGAGAGTTGCATCCCCTGCCAACAAAGGGCTCTGCATAGTGCCCCCAGCCAGGGATTTACCAGTCTCCTGTCCCCATCCTGCCCTTCTCCCATGGGTGCTCTGCCCTGCTGAGACAGCATAACCCTTCCTCTAGCCTGGTGTGAGCTTCTCTCCCCCCCAACCTGCCGGGGACACCAGAGCCCCCCTCCCCTGGGACTGTCAGCCACAGACACCAGAGTTGTAGTGAAAAGCACCTTTGGGTTAAAATGGAGTCAAACGAGTTGGAGCCCAGCAGCAGTGGGAGGTAAGAGGCTGAACGCGGCTGTAGTGTAGAGGCGAAGTCGGTAAAGGTCAGGAACAGGCTGTGCAGAACCGTGCTGCAGCCCCGGGGCCTGGCTCTGCTCTCAGCCGGAGGCTGTAAACCAGAGCCGGAGGCGCGAGTCGGGGCTGCGGCAGGTCTGGGACTCGACTCCCCCAGTGCTGGTGCGTGGGGCTGGGCCCGCTCCAGCATCACCTGTGGGCTGCAGGCTCCTCCGTGCCTCGCCGAGCTCCGTGCTGGTGTCTGGTGTCAGCCCTGAAAGCTGCGGGGGGGTGGGTGAGGGGGTGGCGTGGGGGGTGTAACAAACCCCTCTCGTGTAACCGTTAGTTCGGTGCTGAAGCAAGGACCGTTGTGCTTGCGGGCAGACCTCCTCCTCGCTGGCTCCTGCCCTGGCTCCCACGGGTGGGAGGACACAAGGCGCTGGAGCGGCGTGGGGCAGGAAGCCCTCCTAGCCCAGGCTGGCGCTGCCCGGCACGGCGGTGGGGATGGCGAGGCTGCTTCCAGCTAAAACAGCCCGGTGGCATCGCCGCTTCCACCGCTCCGCTCCTGCGCTGACAGCGAAGGCAGAAGAGCCCGGGGTGGGGTGCGGTGGGGGGGCTGACCCTCTTCCAGCCCCCACGCTGGGCTGCCGCTGCCAGCCGTTATCTGCTCTTGTCGGTGGGCGAGCGGCCGTAGAGCCGGGCGGCTTTGCGGCAGATGAGCCTGAACCAGTAGAGCTGGGGGGCGATGAGGGAGGCGTTGGCTATGTTGCAGTGCAGGGGGATGCGGAAAGGCACCATGTAAATGGGGATTCCCACCTGCCTGGCGTAGGCCCCGTACATGAAGGGGAAGAGGAGAATACGGCAGAGGAAGAAGGTCACCAGGATGAGGATCCCGTTCACCTTGTGCAGGAGGGTGTCCTGCATTTTGAGCTGGGGAAGGAAGGAGGTGAATGTGGGGGTGAGCAGCACCCCATTTCTCCCTTGGGCACTGTGCTGGGAGCATGGAGATGGGCACACAGGAGGTATGGATGAGGGGGAGTGTTCTGGAGGGAGCAGGAAAGCTGGGTGGGAAGGGATGGGGGGGGCAGAGGGCTGGGGCAGGAGGGAGTGTGGTGCAGGGGCATGTACAGACAGGAGGGGGCAGCACCAGAACGCGGCACAGCCCCCAGTTTGGGATTCCACTGGGAATGCTGCTTACTGGGGGAAAGGGACAGGAACCTAACAGGAGGCTGGGGGGAACTCGGGGGGGTTACAGCTGTGGGGCTGCCCCCCTCCGAGACCCCCAGCCCAGCTGCCTTGTGAACAGGGGCTGATGGAGAAGGGCAGCCTGGGGCAGGGAAAAGGTACAAACTGCTGTGGGGTCCCCAGACCCGAGCCCCGTCCCTCCTCACCTACCTGCATGAGGATTTTGCCCAGCGATACGAAGGGCGTGCTCAGCTCTGCAATGAAGATGCAGCCCACGAAGAAATCCCCCAGGTCTCCCCTGAAGTGCTGCAAATAAAGCCAGCGGTGAGCATGGGGCCCTCATGGAGAGGTGGCCAGGAGCCACCACCGAGCATCTCTAAGGGGTTCATGGGCTCCTGACCAGCACAGATGCTTTGCCAGACCCAGCCTTGACTGCAAACCCTTGTAGCCACGCGAGGTTCCTCCCGGGCTGGGTTTCACAGCAGCTGTGCCCAACCCTTACCTGGGTGATGGGGGTGAGCACGATGAGGATGAAGAGGTGGTGGGTCACCATTAGCCGCTCCTGCAGGAGGAAGCTCCACACGCTGGCCAGCGAGTGCTTCTTCTCTGCAACTCCCCTCTCCAGGCTCTTGTGCCAGTGGCAGAGGTACATAACGTAAATGTCATAGGTCATGTAGGGAACGAGGACCCAGATGTACTCCACGGCCAGCCAGTGCCTAGGGAAAGGAGCAGCACACACAGGGGCATCGCAACCGCTCTGAGCGCCGCGCGATGCTCTAGAAGCTGGAGGAGAGTCTCTAGGTCTGAAATGGAAGCGGCGGGTTTTGAAGCTGATGGTAAGCTGAGAGGTGTCAAAATTGAGCTTGATTTGGCTCACCAGAGAAAAGGTACTTGGTACGCGTGGAGGACGCCTCCTCGGCGCTGCTCCCGCTTCGCGCTCGGCCGTGCCAGGCACAGAGCTCGGCCCAGCCAAGCACAAACACGGCACTAGCGGGAGGATCTTGATTAGCCCCACAGCTGGGTGTTTGCCGTGCGGGCCAGGGCCACAGCACCACTTGGGATCCAGCACTAATCTGACGTCTTTGAAGCAGGTATTCTTCTCCCCTAAGCCCTGGGATGCCCAGAGCTGACACTTGGTACGAGGAAAACTCCAGAACTGTGTCCCTTCTGCCTGCCACACTGCTTCCGCTGGCTGCCTAACCTGGGGAGCGTTTGGAAAGCACCTGGAGATCTCTGAGTTAATTAAAGATGCCTGGCATGGACGTCAGAGAGTGAAGTGCAAAATATCTAATATAAGCAATAAACCCCCGTGAGACGTTTGTCTGTTGGGAAATAATGGCAGGCAGCTGCCTGTTCCCAAAGCATGTCAGAATTCTGCTTGCACAATCCAGACAGCAGCAAGCCCTGCTCTGCAGGGACACTGGGCTCTGTAAAAAGTCCTGAGTGAAATCACACCGAATGGAAAAAAAAAAAAAAAAAAGAAAAAAAACAACACCTTCCGCTACTGCTTAAAGAAATATAGCTTGAGGCCCAAATAAATCTGCTCAGGCTCGTCTGCCATCTTGAGAAAAATGTTGTTGCCCGCATTCCTATTTCAGATAAAAAGATGTAAGTGATGTAAATCAGTGAGGGGAAGTGACCAGCTATTGTGTTTGCAAAACTTGCCCAGGGTTTCGGAGGGCAACTATAGTGCCAGCAATACAATGATTGTCTGCCTGTGTAAATAAATTGGCAAATTTTACTGCAACCTTTGTGATGCTTCCTGGCTCTCTGTCTTGCTGTCATTCTCCAAGGCCTTCCCTGCTGAGCACTGGGCTGTATTTCCTTCAGATTCAAAGAAAATCTAGGTCTCTGACCACAAAGTTTTTGCACGGAGAACACCCAGGCAAGCACGCAGCTTTGGGGAGGAGGGCTGCTGTCAGCACCTTTCATCTGTGTGGGTCTGGGATTTATCATATACCTTATCTATACAGCAGATATTTACTTTAGAGCAAAAAGGGTAACTTATTTGACTGTCTGGGTTAAGCAGGACTCAGCAATTTGGATAGATCTTACTATCTAGAGCAAGATAGGATGTTTCACGACTGTGTATTAGACGCAAGTCCGCAATGACTGAGAGAGCAGCCCTCCCTAAAAATCACCCTAAAATCTGGTGTGTGACAAATTTCAGCTCAGCGTAATTATATTCTTCCCTCCTACAATTTTCTCTGCTATTCTGGATAATAGCTCTGTTTTTAAGTCCTCTGACCCAGATTGCACTATCACTCCTGCCGAGAGCCACTTCTGGGGCAGTTTATCTCGGAGCATTGCGGACAAGGTGATGTGATTTTCCTTCAGAGCAAACTCCACACTGATTTTCTTGTTTCTGGACTCCTTCAGAATCCATTTGGCACAGAGAAGGTGATACACCTCTAAAATCAATTCTCACTAGGTCTGCTTGACTTGTTAGCAATTTCGGCTTCCAGCCAGGAGACTCCCTACCCCTTCAGAAGCGATGATGTCTTTATTTCTTGCTCATCTATGGGCCCACGTTACAGCCCATTCTCAGAAGAAGACCCTCCGTGATGGCAGAGCAGCCCCCAGGTCTGAAAAAGCCAGCGCCTCTCAGGGGGTGTATGGCCAGCACATTGCCCAACCCTTAACCCAAAGCAGAAGAAAGAGGAACATGAGACTGGCTTTCCTCTCCCCTTTGTACGTACAAGCCTTTGGCATAAAATACTCCAGCTGCGAGCTGGCCGGGCACGGCCTCCGCATGTTCCTCGCAGGATGGCAAGGCTGTTGGACAATTACCTGTCGTACACCACATCCTTGCAGTTAAGGACAACCGTGATCCCTGATACCGTTGCCATCGTGGCTTGGACTGTTGACACCAACCTGAAACCAAGAGAGTGGAAATGGGTCAACCCCAATGTCACCCCAGAAACGCCGAGGAGCAGGGGTGGTGGCCACGACGCGGTTGCACCAGGAGAGCTGTTAGCACTTAAGACGCCTACTCCGTGCACACCCCGAAAGCCTCGTCGGGGCGAGGAGGAGCTCTGCCCCCGCACCCAGGCATGGGACATGGCCGGGGTGGCTGTGCCAAGCGCTGCCACCCGGGGACACGGCAGGGGGGTTGTTTCCAGGTCTCGTCCCTTCCACCCTCGTGGATCAGCGCCCAGTTTCCCGTGGGCAGAGGGAGAGGCGCACTCGAGCATCCCCGCTCCCCGAAGGGGTAACCGCCACCACGGGATGGGGGTACGGCCGGGCAGCGCTGCCCACGCTCGTGGGGAGTTGCCTGTCGCCGGTCCCTGCTCCCCTCCCGGTCTCGGGACTGCCGGGGGTCGGGGTACCCCACGGGTGTAGGCTCCCGCCCGGATCGCTCCCGGTCCCGTCCCACCGCGCTGGGCACCGATGGAGGTGACGGCCCGCCTCCCGCCCATCCCGCCCGTACCTGCCGCTGAGGAGGATGCGGTCCTTGAGGCTCCATCCCGGGGCGGCCCAGCCCAGTAACCGGATGCAGAGGGCGAAGAGCCCCGGGAAGAAGGCGGAGGCGAGGGCCAGCGTCCGCCACATGGGGACGACCGTCGCCGCGCTGCCTCCCGCCGCCGCTTGTCAACAGCGGGCCGGGCGGCGGGAGGGCACGGCCGGGCACGGCTGGGCACGGCCGGGCACGGCTGGGCACGGCCGGGCTCGGAGCGCACCGGCCCGGCCACCGGGACGCGCCCCGCACCGCCGGGCGGCAGGCCCCGCCTCCGCCCGGTGAAACCCCGCCCCCTTAGGGACCCCCTCCCCATAGAGACCCGCCTATTTTAATGCCACGCCCCCAAGGGGCGGTGCGACGGCGGGGTGGGTGTGTCCTGTCGCATCCCGGCGTGCCGCGCGGCCCGGAAGCGGCGGGCCGCCATGGAGGAGGACGAGCCGGAGCTGGCGGCCGGGCTGGAGGCCGCGCTGGAGTTGGCCCCCGCCGTGCAGGCCGCCATCGAGCAGGTGCGCCGGGTCGGCCCTGGCGCGGGGCCGGGCGGGGGCCGGCTGAGCCCCGAGGCGGGGCCGGGCAGGGCGGGGCCGGGTCCCTCAGGTGAGGGGCCGGGTGTGGGCGCGGCCCGGTGGCCCCTCTGAGGGCCCCGGGGTCGGCCGTGACCCTCAGCGGGCCTCGGGCTGCTCAGCCCCGGCAAGCCCCGAGTGGGCTATGCTCGGAGGGGGATGCGCCCCAACCGCCTTGGCGCGGGGGTGGAGAGCCCCTTGGCCCCGGGTCGCGGCAGTGCTGGGGGGCTGTCACCTTCCTCCGCGGTGCGGTGGCTGAGCCGGGGGTTGGCCGCAGCCGAGCGTGTCTCCTTAATCACTGGCCGCTGAGGGACACGGGGCGTTGGCTGCTCTCTGTCTCCTAACTGAATGCTGCTACTTGGGATATAAAGTCTCTTAATGGAGTCGCAAAAAGCCTGCAACTCAGCTGAAGTCAGGGTAGTCTGAATGTCGTGGCTTGACTTGTGTGATCGATGTGTTCCAGCCCAAGTCTTTCAGTGTTCCCTGAAACCTTTTGTGGCACTTGGAGAGACCGCAGGAACCCAGGGTAAAATCATCTGTGTGGTGGAGTCTGTGACTGAGCTTGCACTGACTTCAGCCAACCCTTCTGTCTGAAGAGCTCTTTCTTGTCGTAGAAGTCAGTGGACAGCAACAGGAACTGTCTCTCAAAGCATCACTCAAATACATTTCCACACTGTCTTGAGTGTCGAGGCTTGTGGATCACTCCTGGTGGCTCTCAAAGAACTAGGGCCAACCGTGGGAGCTGGCACAGCATCCCGGGTGAGTCCAGCACCAGAAGGTGAGGAGGGTAGCGCAGTTTCTCTGTGGGTCCTGTGCCAGCTTTGCAATATTATCACTCCAAAGAAAGAGACACCCCAGGTACTCTATATTTGCATGAGATTGGCACACCTGGCAGTAAACCATTGAGTAATTTTTCCTGAAACTTTGAGAACTGCTAAATTAAATGTCAGCTTCTAAAGGAGACCTGGAACTTCTCCAGAAGAGTCCTCTAGCTTTGTAGAGCCTGTATATTTGAAAGCCAGAGAAGCTTGTTGTGATTTCTGACATTGTTGTACAACCAAAGAAGAGTTACCTAATGTCATTTTTCATCAAGCACAAAACATCTCTTCAAGGTAGAACTTGCCTTTTAGAGACAGTCTTGAGGTTTTGAGCAGTGGAGAGTCCACCACACCCTTGTCTGAATTATTTTAACAGGCAATAAGGCTGTAGGCAGATATTCACATCCTGAGCAAGGGGAGATGTTGAGGATGACACTGCCTCTTCTCTTCCATTGTTTCCTCATTGGCACTTTCCAACCCAAGAATCCTGTCATTCCTTTGAGTGTTCCTTAATTAGCTTTGGGCAAAACCTGCCAGGTTGTGGTTAAATGAGCAGAACTGGCTCAGGTGACTTCTGCCGGCAGTAGGGAAGGGAGCACACCCAGACTGGTGCCCCACCAAACGTGGGATAGTAATTTCTGGTTAATGGGTTGTGGCAAAGACCTTGGAGTAGCAACTTCCTTAACTGGTGCAGCAGCCTGCAGCACTGGTCTCTAGCTGCAGGCTGAGTGGAGTTCCTGACTAGCCTTTATCTTCCATCCCACCCCTTTCTTCATCAGCTCTTAATCCCTGTGGAGATTTGGGGTTAGTTGAAACCGCAGTTGTGAGCCCAGGACAGGCTGGTTGTGATACTGCAACTATGCTCTTAAGATGCTCTGACATTAGTCCATCTTCCTCACTCGAGCACAGCCTCATGCATATTTAACTGCTGCCTGCTTCTCCTTGGCCGCAGGAGTAACGTTGGGGGAAAGCTGCTGAAGAGGCCCGTTTCAGGGAGAAGTTGCTTTCCTTTAAATAGTCTCACAAAAATCACAGCTTATACGCTGCAAAAATGTGTAAAACATGTGAGTGCTGCATGTGCCCAGGTAACGCAGGTTTCCATGAAGGCTTTCAGGTGAAGGGTGGGGGTGATGGTGCAAGGTGAGCTACGCGTTTGCTAGGCAGGGTTTTGACCATGGAGCGCAGAGCTGGTGGCTGTATAAATATGGAACAAATATAGTAGCAGAGAAGGGAAAGGAGCATATTTTAGTCCGTGGGGAGAAAAAGCAAAGCCTGCCAGGCGCGTTTGTATCGTTTGAGCTACTTCTGAGGAGAGATGAGATCTGTTTGCACCACAGCTGCTCTTTTCCCTTTCCCTTGGGTAGGAATAATAATTCAGCTGATTCTGTTTCTCTCCATCTTTTTCATGTGAAAGTGGCAAACCCAGCTCTCCAGAGAACTTGTACAACCATTTCTTAATTCATCATGTTTCCTATTACGCAGCTGTGAAAAACAAATCCTCCATCTCTCACCACGGGGCCTCACAAAGCCCAGGCAAAGAGAAGGGCAATGCCTCAGCGCAGGGGTTCATTTCCAGACAATGGCAAAAGCACCAGAATGGTTTAGGATGCATAATTAATGGCTCATGTGTCTCAGGAATTCCTTGCACGTGATCGATTGTGCTGGGGCTGTATGTGGAAGCATGCATGTATATTGTCTGTGTTTACTCAGGCTGATATCCACAGGAATTTTAATAGTTTGGAGATCTACGGAGCAGGTAGCTGCTTTACTCCTGTTCAGAGGCCTGACTGCTCTCTGTGCATGCTTGTTAGGACAATGCTATGAAACACAATCAGAAGTGGTTGCTGAAGTACTTAAAAGTAGTAGATACTGTGTAAAGTTACAGAAATTAACAGTGGTGTATTGTTGATTTGTTTTCTTCCCTCTCTTCAGGTATTTCCAAGCCAAGATCCACTGGACAGAGCAGATTTCAATGCTGTGGAGTATATTAATACTCTCTTTCCCACTGAGCAAGTAAGTAGTGCTCACAACACAGCCCCCTTGGAACGAGGGGTAACCTGATAGTAAATGACTGAAGGCATGTTTAAACCTGTACCCAAGCCTCTTCCTTTTAACAGTAGCACGGGTAGTAAGACTATAACAATAATCACTTCTTAAATTCGCATCTCACAAGATTCACTGTCATTATGTAGTTTCTTTCTATCCAAAGTGCTTGCTGCATTAAAAGTCCTGCTTTGATCTGTAGAAATAAATCAGTTTTCTATATAGAGATTTCTCTTGCAGTGCATTTCATAGCTTGCCGTGTATTAATCATTGGTGAATCCTCAGGGGTTTCAGCCAAATAAGGCAGGTGTTGCCTGTGAAATGTCACTGGAGAGTCATCCGTGTTTGAAACCTATTGTTTCTTTTGAGTCTTAAAGAACGAGATTGCTCATATCTGTACTTTGTCTTCCCCAAATCAGCTGCAGGGACAGTTTTGGACTAATATATTGCAATAAGGAGGTGTTTCTTCAGCTGAAGATTGGGTTGTGAGGCACCTCCAATGCTTACCACGTTTAAGATCCTCTGCAGCACTGGCTTTTTTGGCTTTCAGTTGTTTCTAGTTAGTTTGCCGGTGATGCTGGCTTGGCTTTTTTCCCCTCTGTGGTAGTGAAGAGCTGTTTCCCCTGCAGTACCCCCACTACAGCTCCGGCAGCAGCCAGACCTCCTCCACACCGTGCTGGGTGTCGGGGCTCTGCAGGAGGGTCTCTGCGCAGGCCAAGGCTCTGTCCCCGTTGCCCACTGGAGGTCACTGTCACCACAGCATTTCGGGAGCAGTTCTGCTGACAAGGCAGGGCTTGGAGCACCCTGCTTGCTCAGGGCTGGGTGGGAAGTGGGGAGCTCCTGGCACCCGCAGGGCTGCACCCTGGCCTGCCCTGTCCTTCGTGCCTCTTCGTTATGTGACCTGAGAAGCAGCTAAGTTGCCATGTGTCTCAGTTCCTCCATCTCTATAACAAAGTGATTGCTCTCCTCTTTGTAAAGTGCCATGCATGAGAAAGTGTTAGGTATCACAGCTGATGTGTATCACAGTAAAAGGGTCCCCATTTCACTTCTCCTTGTTTTTTTTTTTTCCTGTCGTAGTCTTTGGCAAACATCGATGAAGTTGTGAACAAAATCAGATTGAAAATAAGGTAAGTATTTTTCCATTTCATTGCATCTCAGGTGGCGACTAGTCGGGTTGTCACCGAGGCTTCATAAATACACCCTTTGTGTTATAGCTGATAGGAATTAATTTGCTTAAATAGCATGAATAGAGTCAGTCTTAAGTCCAGTAGTGGGACAGGGACAAAAATGACTCCCTGTAATTATAATTCTTTTTTATACTTTGTCCCTATTGTATAATACATGCCTTTCAGGTTATTTTAGCCGATGGGTTGCAAAATAGACCTTTGAAAATGCAATGAACTAAGAATCAACAAGTACCAAATTTTAGTACAGTCTGAAGGCTGAGAGAACAAACTACCCAGAAGATCTAGTTGCTGAAAATTTACTCTGCTAGTGAGGCCAAAATAGCAGTTGTAAAACCTCTCATTTTGTATTTTTTTTTTCATTATCACTATTGGTACTAAAAGTACAAAATAAATACAAGTGTGCAGGAAATACATTTTCTGCAAAGTCTGGCATTACCAACCGTTACCAAATGGTTGAGACAGCACTTTAATATGTGGAAATGAAAACAGACAAGGAAATGAAAACTGACAATATTGCTTAAGGGAAGAGAAATGCAAGAAGCCCTGATTAATTTAAGAAATGCATTTTTATTTTTGCAACAGGAGTTTTAAATGATGTAAGATAGTGATGTCCTACAGAGAAAGAGTGGGGGAAAAAAAAGTGAGTTTAGCATTGGTAGCACCAGCTTTTT